TAGAAGTCTGTCGGTTGTCTTTGATTTTTTCAACAAATGTATTTACCAGAAAAGTTTTCCGCCGAATTACGACTCTACATGTCTTGGCATGCTCCAAACAAATAAGCGCACGCGAACTACAATTTAATGTTCACGCCTCATTGGCTTAGCGCCGATCCCGGATAGATTTCCCTTTCGTGTCAAATGTTTTCGTTTTTTGTGCGTTTGTTAATGTTTGAAAAACGTCGCACCCGATGTGCGGCCCGCTGTGGCCCAATTAGCTTATGTGACATAAATATGCAAGGTATCAATTTAGGAATTTTGTGTGCGCAACGGCCAACGATTTTTAATTCAGAAATTCTTTACGTAGTTCTCTCGAACTGCGCATGGAGCTTGGGAAAATGATAGCGCCAGCCGCAATGATGGCAAAATTGAGCTAGCGTGAGCGGGAAAACGCTCCGAGACCGGCAGGGGTTACTTTTACTGACCATTCGTGGAACTTTTTTCCTGCAGTTTCTGACTAACGGTGGAATTCGACTGATGAAACATGTTGCGAACTCGCTAATTCTGATTGTTTATATCGTGTCACTGATCGTACATGTTATCGAGGCCCTTAATACTGAGCGCCGATATACTTTCCCATGAATCAAAGGGTATACACGAATGCTTCCATGCTACAACAGAGATTGTTTTGTACAATTTGGGAGCAATGTCGACAACGACAATCTCAAGCTACATATAGCACTTGGCATATATGCACCCCGCCTGGATGCACGCGCACCAAAAGAGCACATGTGCACCAGAGAAATTGCAACAGAGTGAGCGAACAGTTTGCCAGCACACACGAGGAATTGCACAAGATGCAGTGACGCATGCAAGAAGTAGGATACACAGATGCTTCCATTTTGCAGTAGAGATTGACATGTACATTTTGGGAGCAATGCTGCCAAGTTGACAACGACAATCTCAAGCTGTGTGTAGCGCTTGGCACATTTGCACCCTGCCCCAATGCACGCACACAACAATTGCACATGTGCACCCGAGAAATAACAACAGAGTGCGCCAACAACGTGCCAACTCACATGAGGAATCGCACGCGAAGCAGTGATGCATGCAACAAGGAGGATACACGAATGATTCCATGCTGCAGCAGAGATTGAGATGCACACTTTGGGAGCAAAGTTGCCAAATTGACAACGACAATCTCAAGCTGTGTGTAGCACTTGGCATATATGCACCCCACCCCAATGCACGCATACCAAAACGGCACATGTGCATCCGACAAATTGCAACAGAGTGCGCCAACAACGTGCCAGCTCACACGAGGAATCGCACACAAGACAGTGATGCATGCAGCAAGGAGGATACACGAATGCTTCCATGCTGCAGCAGAGATTGACATGCACACTTTGGGAGCAAAGCTGCCAAATTGACAATGACAATCTCAAGCTGTGTGTAGCACTTGGCATATATGCACCCCGCCCCAATGCACGCACACCAAAACGGCACATGTGCATCCGACAAATTGCAACAGAGTGCGCCAACACACACAAGGAATCACATATCACAAAATTCATCAAACCAATGCTTCAAGCCAACACTTACAAACACAACACTCCAATACAAATAGAGATCCATTAAGAACAAGACCACACACAACGGATGACAAACAAAGCCCCACATGATGTGCAATAACAAGAATAACAGAATCAAACCGACACAACGGAAACATGCAGGAAGAAAAAAAGAAGAGAATCACACATGTTGGATGCACACACATTCATAGCGCACACAAGCGGCGCATATCAAAGCAAATTAGCCAAAAATAGAAATATATGTACATATATATACACTTATCAGTATTGCTGACCAAGCTAACGCATTGACCCACCCACCCGCCCTTGTTTACCCTGTTCCTCCCTCCTCCCCTCCTCCCCTCCTCCCCTACCTCCTTTCATCCCTCACCTTTCAAGTCCAATACGTGCCTTCCCCCCCACCCCCGCTCACCCTCTTCCCCTGCCCCTTCCTTCTTCCCGCTCTCTAATGTGGCAGCGCACGTAGCTGTTAAAATAGAGCCTGGACAAGAAAATAAAATGGAGAATTGTAAAAAAGCATAAGAAACCAAGCATGAAGGCTACATGATACAAGTATGATAGGGGGAAATGCATAAATGTTTACAAGGAGAAAGGAGGGCCAAAGAAGCGAGGATGGTATATGTTAAAGGAATGAAAGAGGAAGCAATGGGGTGCAAAGAGAAGGAAAGGACGAAAGTGATTAGAGAGAAGAGAAAGAAAAGAATATTGAAGGAGAAGAAAAGGTAAAGACATAGGGAAACGAAAGGGAAAGAGGAGAGAGATAAAAGCAAAGAGGGAGGAAAGAGGAGGGTTCAATCACCAATATCAAACTTTGAACAAAAACAGAAACGACGAAAAACAAGTGAAAGAGGGAAATAGGAAGGGTAATGCGATAAAGTGCACGATGCCAGAACGTATTTGTGTACAAATAAGAAGAGTGAAGAGCTGCTTAATGTGGAAAATTCGCAAAAGAAACAAAAGCTGGAAGAAGAAAACATGCAAGGAATAAGAAGTAAGAGACAACATCATTCGAGAATGACTTCCTAACTTGTCACAGTTGCAGACAATTAGGCGCCTAACTGCTAGACGCAGGTGCTCGATGCTACTACTAATTGCTCCTGGTAAGCACCCATCCGCTAGGCGCTGGTGCTATGTGCCATAGAATCTAGGCGTAGCTGCTAGGCGTTGCTATAGGTATTAGGCACTGGTGCTGTTATTAGGGGCTGCTACTAGTGTTAGGCGCTGCTATTAGTAATACTAGGCGATGCTATTAGTAATACGAGGTGCTGCTATTAGTAATACAGTACTATGCACTGCCGTTAGTAATACTAGGTGCTGCTGATAGTAATACTGCTATTAGTACTAGGCGCTGCTAGGCGTAGCAGGTAGGTGTAGCTGCCAGGTGCTGCTAGATGCTGTCAGGTGTTGCTAGGTAGTGCTACTGGTGTTAGGCTCTGGTGCTATTAGTAGGGGCTGCTTAGTGTTAGGTGTTGCTATTGGTAATACTAGGTGCTGCTATTAGTAGTACTAGGCACTGTTATTAAACTATTAGTAATACCAGGTGTTACTATTAGTATTATAATACAAGGCGCTGCCGTGCTGCTGTTAGTAACACTAGGCGCTGCTGTTAATAATACTAGGCACTGCTGCGAGTAATACTGCTTTAGTACTAGGCGCTTTTGTTAGTAATACTGCCATTACTACTAGGCACTGCTGCTATGCGTAGCAGGTAGTGTAGCTGCCAGGTGCTGTCAGGTGCTGCTAGGTACTTCTACGTACTATTACTACTACTAGTTTGCTGCTAGGGTGCAGCTGCTACAGGAAGGGTGAAAATAACAACATGCGATGCGAAGGGAAGCCGAGGGCGAGGAGACAGGAACAGCAATAGAAGAAACTGCAATGAATGTGAAGCTGCTTCTTGGGAATGGCTTATCACACCACCTGCTCATACCCAATCAAACCACAAGTGAGAGATTCACATGCCAAAGACTCAACTGCCAGAAGGGGGACTCATTGTCCTTATGATTGGGCACCATAGCCAGAAACCCGGCAAGGAACAAGAGGCAACGGGTCACACAGCTATCATCAGCGACTGACTTGGGGAACTTCTCTATCACTCAGCACCGACCACCAAGGAAGCACGGCGTTGGGCATGTCACCAGCCACCTAGCCAGCGAGCGTAGTGCCATGGCAGCTTGCGGCTGCGCCCAGGATCCCAGCGTGCCTGGCGCCAGTGCACACCGTGTAAGCGAGCGGGGTGTCACAGCAGCAGAGCACCAAGGAGGGCAGCGACACCAGCGCTCCTAGTGAGAGCACCGCTATCGCGCCTAGCGCCAGCGCACCTGCCGCGCCTAGCGCCGGCGAACGCGGCGCCAGCGCACCTAGCAGCGGCGAGCGCGGCGGCAGCGCGCCTAGTGCCGTCGAGCGCGGCGGCAGCTCGCCTAGCGCCGGCGAGCGCGGTGCCAGCGCACATAGCGCCAGCACGCCTACTGTGCCGGCTAACGCGGTGCAAGCGTGCTAGCGCTAGCAAGTGGCGGCGCCTGCGCACCTAGTGCCGATGAGCGTGGCGCCAGCGCTCCTGGCGCTGCGATTCTAGCTGACGCGGCGGCAACACTCTCCTTGTATGATTTGTGAGGATGACTACCTAGCACCTACAGCCTACATGACGAGAAGCAAGATTGGCAGGTGATGGGAGCCTTCAGGGCTGGGAGGGGCAACACCACCGCCAAACCAAACCCCCAGCACGTCAGCAAAGCTTCCCCAAACCAAGTCCCAAATGTCTAACCTAAGAAACGTACAGTACGTGTAGATTTTTTTATATATAAAATTGTAAGAATACTAGGATGATTGAAACAAGGGAGAAACAAGAGAAATATAGTGTTGGGGTTGTACCCACTAAGAACATACACCTATCTAGCCTATAACTTCTACATAACATCATATGTATAAGTTGACACACCCCCTAGGCTAGACAAGGGGTAGTGCTGAGCAAGAAACACGCAGTTCAGGGTGGCACTACTAGTCCAACCTCTGAGGCAGGGGTCTGAAGACCAGTCAGCAAGAGTACAAACAAGACAAGAGCAAACTAGGGCGGCACTATCACAAGATCGAATGTGTCGAGAAAAGATTGCACTATCGATCAGTACAAGGCGCTTTTATACTTCCAGAGTACATCAGGTAACCAGGTTTATCTTATCCTAAGGGAATAGACCCTTCTAGAAGATAGAATCACCCTGCGTATAGCCACGCGAGGCTATTGGCTTTAAGGGATTACGGCAGGATTACGCTAGATATAACGCCCAGTACATCCCAAGCCTGGTCGGTGATATAACTATAATAGCAGGAGAAACCAATAGGTTAATGGAAAAGGGAGAATAGGAAACCAAATGAGATGAGATAAAAGAGAAATGAAAGTAGGAAGGAAGTAGAAAAAAGATCAAGTGGTGTAACGGGGTCGTACTCTCACACTTCCCCCCCTCAAAGCTGGGTGGTAGAAGTAACACCCTGCTTGACAAGGTAGTCATGCAGAGGACGACGGGCGTTACCCATGTCGGACTCAGATACCCAGCTGTCCTCAGAAGGATCATAACCCTTCCAACGGATGAGAAGCTCCACGGTGCCATTCCGACGACGGCGGTGTGCGAGCACGGACTCGACCTCGTACTCGGGTTCAGTCTGGACGAGGACGGGCGGTGGCGGCGGCGGTTGGCGTCCGACGAAGATCGTGTTCGGATCCCGATAGGGCTTCAGAAGTTGGACATGGAAGGCGTTATGAATCTTCCAAGTAGCTGGCAGGCGTAAGCGGAAGGTAACAGGAGTGACCTGTTCTTCAACGAGAAAAGGCCTGCAGAAGCGAGGTCGAAGTTTAGATGGGAGATGGCTGATGTCAAGGTTGCGGGTGTCAAGGAGTACCTGGTCTTCCACCGTGATGGTGTGGTCGTTGCGATGGCGATCGGCCTGGCGCTTCTGTTGCTGTTGAATGTCGAGGAGGCGCTTGTGGGTCCGATCCCAAAGCTGATGCATGGTTGTGATAAAATCATGCGCAGGTTGGACTGTAGCGGATGCTGTCGGTTTTTGTGGTGTCAGTGGGTGGCGTCCATAGCAGAGGAAGAACGGCGTCTCTCCAGTAGCGGCATGTGTAGCATTGTTGTAAGCAAACTCTAGTACGGGCAGATGCAAGTCCCATTTGGAGATCTCGTCCTTGCAGGCTGCTCGGAGGAGTTGCTCAACAATTTGGTTGAGGCGCTCGGTCTGTCCGTCTGTCTGCGGATGGTAAGCAGATGACATGGCGAGTTTGGTCCCGAGGAGAGACATAAGTTCCTTCCAGAACTTGCTGGTGAACTTGGGGTCTCGGTCGGAGATAAGTATGGTTGGAATGCCATGCTGTGAGATGATGTAACGAACGAATAGTTGTGCTGTCTCCTCAGTGCGTGCTGTCGTGTGTGTCGGGATGAAATGCCCCATTTTGGAGAACTTGTCGATGACGACAAGGATGGCGTCATGACCGCTGGTGGTAGGTGGTAACCGGTGATGAAGTCCAGGCTAACCACTTGCCATGGTTGTTCTGGGACAGGAAGAGGCTGCAGTAGTCCTGCATTTTTCTGTTTGCTGCTCTTCATCCGCTGACATGTATCACACGAGGTGACAAATTTCTGGACATCCTCTGCCAAGTGGGGCCAGTAGTAGTGTTTTGCAATACCGGTCAGCGTTTTGTTGCTACCGAAGTGTCTGAGGTAGAGGACGTCGTGGTATTCTTTGAGTAGTAACTGGCGCAAAGGAGGGTAATTGGGTACCCAGACTTCGTTGATCCTTTTCGGTACGCGATGTCACTGTCCCACTGTAGCAGATGTCGTTTCTCTGCCAAGGGAATTTTGGGGTCGATGGCGTACCCGTGTGTGAAGAGTCCCTTGAGTAGTGGATTCATCCCTTCGACCCGAATAGCGGCAACGTGAGCAGGCGGCTGAGAGCGTCTGCTTTGTTTTTTGTGGCCGGGCTTGTACACGATGTCGTAGTGGAAGTGTGTCTCGAGGAAGTCGATCCACCGAACCTGCCGCCTGGAAAGGTTGGGTTGTATCTTCAAGTATTTCAGGCTGAAGTGGTCAGTGTATACGGTTGTTCTTCGTCCTTCGAGATTACACCTCCACGCTTTGAAGGCGATGACGATGGCAAGGGCCTCTTTGTCGTGTATTGGGTAGTTGAGTTCTGCCCCGTGTAGTTTCTTACTCAGGTAAGCGATTGGTTGCAGTCCATTCCCTTGATCCTGCATCAAGACTGCTCCCACTGCTTGGTCACTGGCGTCAGCTTCGATGACGTAGTCGCGTTCGGGATCTGGCAAGATGAGTACCGGTGCGGACGTGAGTGCTTGCTTCAGCTGCTCCACGGCTTCATGGTGCTTCGGCTCCCATTTGTAGGGCGTGTTCTTCTTCAGCAGATTCGTGAGTGGTGCTGCGATTTTCGCATACTGTGGCACGAACCTGTTGTAGTAATTAGCGAAGCCTAGGAACTGCTGCAACTCCTTCACGTTCTCGGGTGTCTTCCACGTACGTACGGCTTCGATTTTCTTGGGGTCGACGTGAACTCCTTGAGCGCTCACCATGTGTCCTAGGAACTGGACCTTCTCAAGGGCGAATTCGCTGTTGGACAGTTTGACGTAGAACCGTTCTCGTCGAAGAATTTCGAAGACGCATCGCATGTGTTCGACGTGCTGCTTCATGTCGCGCGAGTAGATGAGTATGTCGTCCAGGTACACCACTACGCACTCGTCCAAAAGTGGTCGTAGAATGTGGTTCATTTCGGCTTGGAATGTTGCCGATGCGTTGGTGAGTCGGAATGGCATTACCAAATACTCGTACAATCCATACCGAGTTCGGAAAGCAGTTTTGTGGATAGAGTTGTCCGCCATCCGTATCTACCAGTATCCGGACCGCAGATCCAGTTTGGAAAATACCGTAGCTCCCCGAAGCTGGTCAAGCAGGTCATCGATTTGCGGTATCGGATATTTATTCTTGATGGTCTGCTTGTTAAGAGCTCGGTAGTCCGATGCACATGCGCACGCTTCCATCCGGTTTCGGTGTGAAGAGTACTGGGGCACCGTACGGCGAAGTGGATGGTCGGATGAGTCCTTTGCCTAGGAGATACTCGATTTGTTTTTTCATATCGGTCAGCTCCGTAGGGGTGAGCCGATATGGTGCTCGGAAGGTCGGCTTCGAACCCGGTTCCTCTACGATCTCGTGTTGATTCGTTCGGTATGGAGGTAGCTCATTCGGAAGATCGTCCGGAAGAATATCTTGGAACTCCCTCAATAATTCCTTGATCTTTCCTGGAGGTTCCGAGGTTCTCTCCCTGTTGTTCTCCGCCTCTGTTGCTATTGCCAGGAACCCTGTGTCGGTTCGCTTCATGTCCTTCTCGAATCATGCGAGTGTCTCCACTAGGATATCTCCTTTATCGTCCCAGTTGGGTAGCTGTACTCTCCGTCCATTGTTGTAGATGCTTGCAGTGCGGTTCACCCAGTTGATCTCGGGGTTGAATCTTTTTAGGAAGTCTCGCCCGAAGATCAAGTCAAGCCCTTTGATGTTGGTGATGGGGAGTGCAGGTCTCCAGCGCAGTGGTCCAATTTGTAGGTGTAGCACTGCTTCGCCGTGTACTGGTAACTTGCTGCGGTCCACCATCGTTGCAGAGAATCCTGAAGGCTTGTACTCTTCCCGAGGTCGGTCGATTACTGCCTTGTCGCAGACGGTGTGTGATGCTCCACTGTCCACGAGTGCTTGGAGGCGTTGTCCTTTGCAGATGACCTCGAGCACGAGGGGCAGGCGTTGCTCGGAGTACCCAAAGATAGTTTCATTGATTGGGTCATAGGGTACATCCCAATATTCCGTACACCTTTGTGTTGCTATCTACTCCTGAGGTGACAGCTGGCCGAGGCTGCTTGGAGAACGGCTCTTCTCCAGGGCCCAGAGTTTCCTTGACGACTGTGCGCGTCGTTGATGCCGAGTCTTTTTTCCCCGTCTCGGCAGAGTCTTTTTTCGCGGAGTCGTATTTTTCCTCGGCGATTTTCCTTGGCGAAGACTGGTCGTGGGGTGGAGATTTTCCCCCATCATTTTCTCCTTCTCGCGTCGAATCAGCTTCGTCGAAGTTGATTTTCTCGGAATCCCACGGCCGCTTCCGGATCTTTTTATTTTCGCCAGCTAGATCCGCAATCACTGGCGACTCCCGTTTTTTGGCTTCTGATTGGCCGAAGGAATTCTGCCACTGTTGCGTGCCCGATACTCTGCGCGTGCGGCTTTCATTTTGTTGCAGTCGAAGATTCGATGACCCGGCACCCTGCAAAAATCACACGTGTAGTTGGTGTTTTTCGGACGTGGCCGCCCCTCGAATCTGTCGACTTCCATCGGGTCGGCGAACGTGGGGTGAGCCGAGCGGTCGCCCTGTCGCGTACTGCCGACGTGCGTCCGTCGTGTTCCGGCGTTGACCATGTCGAAGCGCTCCGCTGCCGAAACGACGTCACTGTAGCTCGTGTAGTTTGACGCTGCTACTTGTCGTTTGACTTCAGTCTTCAGCCCGGCAAGGTATGATTGTACTTTTTCCCCTTCGGTCAGGTCGGGAATTCGGTTATAAAATTCCTTCATCTGCTGCGTGTACTGTGCTACACTCCCGAACTGTCGGTGTCGATGATTTTTTTCCCGGGCAAGGAAACTCGAATTTATCGGCTCGAAACGTTTCAGCAGGTCGGCGCGGAACTGCTGCCACGTCGCTTCACTGTGGATGAAGGTACTGTTGCCGCCAATCCACTTGAGTGCCGGCCCTCGCATCAGTGTCGCCGCGAGTCGTACGCGTTGACCGTCCCAGACTGGCGAGCTCCATCCGACTGCTGCAAAGTAGATCTCCATCGCGGCGATCCATCTGCGGGCGTCGGAGTTTCGATCGCTCGGATCGAACGGCTCAGGTGGGCGCGGTTTCGGAGCCTCGAGAAATTGCTGCGACTGCTGCGTCGTCGCCGTTGTCGAGTCGTGCTGCGCTCCGGCGACTCGAGTTACTCGCTCGAATTCGTTTCGCCACGCTTCGCGATCCGCTCGCATCTCCTCCTGAAGGGCTGCGATGCGCGCGAAGAGCTGCTGGGTAACCTCGGCGTTGTCGAAGGTTGCCATCCTGTTCAAAACACGCGCGGGGGGGTGATTCGAAAAAACGCGGAGCTGGTGCTTACCAGAATCGGCGTCGAATTGGTCGCCCCCGGCGGTTTTTCGAGGCAGGTTTTCCCGCTGCTGCTGCTTTGTTGAGCGCGGCCGAGTGAGAAAAGCTCTGATTACCAAGTGTTACAGGATCGAATGTGTCGAGAAAAGATTGCACTATCGATCAGTGCAAGGCGCTTTTATACTTCCAGAGTACATCAGGTAACCAGGTTTATCTTATCCTAAGGGAATAGACCCTTCTAGAAGATAGAATCACCCTGCGTATAGCCACGCGAGGCTATTGGCTTTAAGGGATTACGGCAGGATTACACTAGATATATAACTATAATAGCTGGAGAAACCAATAGGTTAATGGAAAAGGGAGAATAGGAAACGAAATGAGATGAGATAAAAAGAGAAATGAAAGTAGAGAGGAAGTAGAAAAAAGGCCAAGTGGTGTAACGGGGTCGTACTCTCACAGGCACTACTAGTCTGGCCACTTATAGAGAAGCCACAAGGCCAATCTTGAAGGTATAAATATAGAGGAGTACACAATCAAGATCCTAGCAAGTGAGAGTCTATAGGAACTAGACCAAGCTGCAAACAGTGGCGCTGATGATCTCTTGGCGCAAGCGCCTTAGTAAAGATATCAACTGTGTTGGAACCGGAGTCCAAGTGTACTACGTGGGCCTGGCGACCCGCAGCTGGATTTCCTTCACTCTGCCCTCAAGTCGAGGCTCCTGACATAGGAGGATCATGGCCCTGTTGTCAGCGTACAGAATCGGGGCAGAGCTAGGTCGCTCTCCTAAGCCAGCGAGCAAGAAGGTCGGCCAGCGCAGCTCCTGTGCCGCCATGGCACCAGCGTAGATCCCAGCCTCACAGCTAGAATGGGCAACAGACGAGGAGCGACTGGACCTCCACTAGATGGCCCCTGAACCAAGGCCAAAGAAGTAGCCCTGGGAGGACCTAAGAATCTCAGCGTCGTCTGCGCAATTAGCGTCACTGTGCCCAGTAAGGACCACCGGACTGCGTCCTCCAAGCACTAGCCCGATGCCCGATGTACTTGCTAGATAACGCAAAACCCTCTTAGCGGCCGACCAGTGCTGTGGTCGGTGTCCGCCAGTGGCCACAAAGCGAGCCAAGATGCTAAGAGGGTATGCGAGATCTGGGCGAGTGCAAGTCATCAGGTACATGAGGCAACCCACCAGCTCTGCATAAGGACCACTGGGCACTGCTGATTCCTCATGAACTGGAGCTGAAAGCATGTGGTCTACTGGCAGAG